CACAATTCTGAAGTGAAGATACAAAGTGATTTAGCTGCGTCCTGAAAGGACAGGCTCGAAAAAAGTTTGGCACTTTTGCAAAAACAGAGTCGTAAAAAATCTTTTAACTGGTGATTCCAATGCAGCTGTAGGTAGGGGGTTGGACTGCAAAGTGATTTAGCTGTTGAAGTTTGACTCAACTCCTCCTGCTGTATGGGGTGCATCATTTTTGTATGTTCCGTGAGAGTGATTCTGGTGCATTTGTCGATGGCAAGTTGGGTATTGACGTGCTAAATTGACGTCATGCTTGACTCGGCTTCTTCCAATGTGCAGGGGTTTGTTGAGGAAGAGTGTCGTAAATTAGGTGATTCCGGTGCAGCTGTTGGGGCGTGACAAGGTGTGACGTATGAAGTAGTCATCCCTTGCCTTGCTTCTTCCTGCTGTACTGGGTTTTGTTGGGTGTATTAGTTCGGATTTGACTGGCATTAGTCAGAAACGTGTCCATCTTTGAGCGACTTGGTTGTTGTGCATGTACCTAATCGCAGAAAGTTTGTTAGTGACAAAAAATTTGTTTGCAATTTTGTTGATTAGTGCATAACTAGATTAAAGTAATGAAAGGATAAAGAAGAGCTGGCCAGGCTCAAGCGAATACTCAAGTGATGAGGTGATTGTTCCAGTCATAGTTGTTGAGCACGTCTGTCATTTTCAATTCATAAGGTAGAGGTAGATTGGTCCCACACAACTTGGGCAACAAATAGTTTTTGATTTTGCGTACTCACTAGATTGGTCCCACACTTGGGCATCTTATAGTTTTCGATTTTGCAGTCAGTCCTATTTTGGACAAAGTAAAACGTTTGAATAGATTGATCAGCATCAGCTTCGCCACACAAGATTGTTTTTGATAGTTTGAGTTTTGCAGTTTTGATTGAATTTGTTGGCTTTCGTTGTTTGATTTTCCTCTCTTGCATAGGTTTCATTCACAAAGTCTGATTTGTTTGACAGAAGAGTGAATCAAGTTTTCCAAAGTGAATTTTAGGTTATTGTTAAGATAATCAAAGATTTGACATCAACAATGGATATTAACATCAACAATCAAGGTGAGATAAGGAAATGGTTGATCCTATGAGGATGTAATTTTAATTGTGACTTCTTGTCAGTTGCAGATGAGAATATGAGTGACTCAGAGCAAAATGCGCTGGTCATTGAAGATTCTAATTCTCCTGGAGTTGTACAAGTTGTGTAAAGAAAGAAAAAATAGAGTTCTAGGGATATAGATTCTAAATTGGTCGGTTCTTATGAATCCTTAGTGGAAGAAGAAGAAGACGTCCCAATGGAGCCGTTTCCCGGGGATGTAGCTGAAATTACAATTCCTGGTTACTTAAAAGATCGTTCTGAAGTGTTTTGTAGTTTGGATGCAAGCAAATGGGAAAACTTGATGGATCTTGCCAGCTTTGTAAAGAAGAAATCAATGTCTTTAATAGCAAAGCGGGGTCTTGATTCTGAGATAACTGAGACTGAGAACAAGATGGTTCAAAAGAAGGTCAAATTAGAGTGTTTAAAAACTGCTGTGAAGGAGTTGGATGATGAGAAAAGTAATTTGGAGGAAAAGAAGAAGATTTCTGCACTTCAAAATGAAATGGCTGTTTCTGGCCTCTAAGGAGGCAGATTTAAGTGCGCTTGAGTTTCTTGGGTGCATTAAGAGAAAAACTGCTGGGGACTTGGCGTCAGCTCTTTTGAGATTTCAAGGATTGAAAGACTTGTGGTTTGAAGAGGGGCCAAGTTGTAAAGTTTTCAATGAGGGTAATTATGAAATTTGTGTTAGAAAGGGTTCTGATTTTGACTAATTCTTGTGGTTTTAACCAGAAAACGTGTGGATCCTTCAACTCGGAGAGGGCTCAGGACAAATTACCATTCTGGTTGGAAGGCTGGAGCACCTTATGACTCGATTTGTCAAGGAGAATAAAGTTCTGGGAGTTTGTCAGCCGTCAACATCATCGTCTGCTTCTAAGAAAACCTCAAATCTAATTTCTCAGGGACCTTTGAGGTCAATTTGGAAATCAATTGAAAGTTCTGCAGGAGCAAGCACCTCTAGGGTCAAGCGGTCTGCTGTTGTGATCCCTAATGCTGGGGAAGTGACTAAGCGTTGAAAGCTTCAAAGAAATCCAAAATGTTTGGTTGGGGGATTGACTGATGGTAAAAAATGATGAAAACTTTCTAGTGTTTGAGAAATATACTTGAATTGTTTTAAATCTCCATTTTTTTAGCAAATCTTGAAAAATTCATGGAAGGGAAGCAATTTGTTCCTAAGGATCCGATTGTGTACTGTTGGAACGTTGCTAAAAGGCTTGGGCTGACAGAAGAACATCATGAGCGTTTGGAGCCCATACAGCTACCAGTTCCTGGATGTATTGTACAAGATTGGCTTTACAGTACTCCTCAGTTTTCTTGGATTCCGGAAGAGAGGATGTTGACAACTTTGGAACCTCAAGTGTTGGTCATTGGAACGTCCCTAACTTCCTACATTTGGCTTGGGGGTGAAAAGGATACATTTGTGGGTCACGTACATTCTGAAAAGTGCACTCAGAAACCGGTGTTTGATTTTTTGCACTTGCTTTCTGGATTGCCATTTTCATTGTATCAGGTTGGTAATATTAACTTGTTGAGAATGTGAATTGATTAACTAAGGGATGGCAATTTCTATTGTATGTTTCAGTATTCCATCAGCGGGCTGTCATTCAAATACGGACAAGCTTTTACACCCAAGGATCTCAAAAAGATGGTCTACTCTGACCTCAAATTAAATGAAAAGTTTTGTTTTAACCAAGTTTATATCAGAATTGTTACAAATGACATGAAGGAGGTTGTTAAACGACAAAGGAATTTGGATTTTTTGACATTTGATGGGTTTTTGGTAAAACTTTTTGAGTATTTGGGAAGATTAGCAAGAGCATTTGGGTGTAAAGTTTTCTATATTGGGGCATCTTCTCCTCCCAGGCCTCTCGTGGATGGCGGGTATGTTTCAAAAAGCGTGTTACGTTCTCCAGATGGGATGCCAATTTTTCCATTGCAATATTTTAGATGGAAGTAGAATGGTGGATCATGATACTTGTCTGAATGCGCCATATTCAATGCAATTTGAGTTAAGGGAGAGGCTAGTGAGATCAGCAGGAAACATAATTGTCAAAGCTGCAACCTGATTAGGTCCAAGTGCATTCTTGTTTCACGTTCTGGAACGTGAATCAAACATTCTTGTTTCACGTTCTGGAACGTGAATCAAACATTCTTGTTTCACGTTCTGGAACGTGAATCAAACATTCTTGTTTCACGTTCTGGAACGTGAATCAAACATTCTTGTTTCACGTTCTGGAACGTGAATCAAACATTCTTGTTTCACGTTCTGGAACGTGAATCAAACATTCTTGTTTCACGTTCTGGAACGTGAATCAAACATTCTTGTTTCACGTTCTGGAACGTGAATCAAACATTCTTGTTTCACGTTCTGGAACGTGAATCAAACATTCTTGTTTCACGTTCTGGAACGTGAATCAAACATTCTTGTTTCACGTTCTGGAACGTGAATCAAACATTCTTGTTTCACGTTCTGGAACGTGAATCAAACATTCTTGTTTCACGTTCTGGAACGTGAATCAAACATTCTTGTTTCACGTTCTGGAACGTGAATCAAACATTCTTGTTTCACGTTCTGGAACGTGAATCAAACATTCTTGTTTCACGTTCTGGAACGTGAATCAAACATTCTTGTTTCACGTTCTGGAACGTGAATCAAACATTCTTGTTTCACGTTCTGGAACGTGAAACAAACATTCTTGTTTCATGCTCCAGAGCATGAAGTAAACAAAAGGGATGGAGTCCAGAGTTCAAGATTTGAATGCTATTAGGTTTATTTTGTGTAATTACTTGTTTTCAAGGGTTCCTTGGGCATGACATGATATTCTCTGTTGTGTTAATGAGGGTTATTATTCCTGATTTGTTCTGAGGGAAATACTCACCACTGTTTTATTTGGTTTAATTGTGGTGAATTGGGAATTTCCCACTGCAAGCTGGCCTTTATGTTTTATTGGTTAGCAACAGTAATGCCATGTTGGCAAGGCTGGCACATTTGAGTCAGCAAATTTAGCCTTGACTTCCCCTCCTTGAGGGAAACTGAGAAGGGAGGGGTCCCCAGCCAGCTGCTGGCACTTAAGCTTGTTTTCCCCCTTGTTTTGAAAGCTGTTAAGGGGATCTGGTTACTGTCCTTGGTGGAAATTTTCCACCCCCTTTTCCTTGACTCATGAATTTCCCCCTGGTTTAGAACCAGTCATCTTTGAGTTCTGTTTTGGGAAGGGTGTTTTTTGAGTTGCTCCCCAACTGTGGGGAATGTATTCTGTTGTATAATTTTGACTGTCCTGTTTGCAATTTTGACTATGTATTTGTCATTTGTATTACAGGCAAACCGTTTGCACACGCGCTTGATTTAAATAAGCTCTTAAGCTTGCTCTTTGTGGGAAACTGTAAATTTATGTGCTGTGAATAAACTGTGAATAGCAAATTCTCTGGAGTTTGCTTTATTTGCCACATCAGTCAGTTCCTCAAAAAGTGAGCAGCAACTTTGTGTGGGTCTTGCCCATGCTACTGCATAACTGATGTCCCTGGTCCTCCAGTCTGAATAAATCTTTGACCTGACCACTTCTGCAAGCATCCATTCAACTCTGGTGCATACTCAGTGACCTAGCTGAGGGCACCCAACCATTAAATTCGGAGTAATTTGACCGTTAGCTTACAATTGTGTGTAGCCTCTCATTCTAGGCACAACAATTAAATACAACACATAATTCATGATGGGAATGGACAACACATAATGCATGATGGGAATGGGGACCAGGTTTTGTTATTTTGGTAACTCCTTTTGAGAGACTTTGCAAATATGTTAAGAGAACAACTCTAGAAGGCGCCTTTGGGCACACGCAGATCAGGGCCTATTTGCAACTGATCATGCTATAGTTATTCAATTTGGGTTATCACTAGATTATCCTGGGAAATTATGGGATAGAGTTCCATCATGCTCTGGTTCTTCTCCTATGTGGAGGGATGATGGGACTGCATCATTGGGAGTGTCCCCTGGAGTTAAACACAATCATTATGCTCATGCTAAACTGCTAGAGAATTGTGTTGGAATGCCTTATGGGTATTTTCCAAAGGCTGGGGGAATTCCTTTAATGATTGATCCCTTTACAAGGTAAGATGGTTTTGAAATTTGATATGAAATGAGAACTAATCATTTTCCTTTGTTTATGAATTTCAGTTTGGACAAGGTCTACAAGACTGGAATTATTGACAAATGCTTTTTGTTGGAATATATTAGAGGGAGCTACAAGACTTTGTCATCTGATTCTTTCAACTTTGCAGTGAAGGACATCCATGCCTGGAAAATCTTAGTGGGTTCTAGAGTTTGAGTGAAGGACTCTTTGATTGAAAAAATTGTTATCACTAAAACTGATGCAGGTTTTTGGCTTGTGGGTGCCGGAGGTCCCATGTATTTGGATAGGAGAAACCTTGAACTTTTGTAAAATTTTCTTTAAGGAGAATAGTTGTTAATGGTTCTGATTAATGTTTGATTTAAGTTTTTTGTTAGAATTGTATTTGTTCTGATGATTTGATTGGCTTGTTTAGTTTGATTCACTTGGTTGATTTGCTCTTTTGGTTGGTTCACTTGGTTTGATTTACTCGTTTGATTGATTCAATTGGTTTTGATTGATTCACTCGTTTTGATTTGTTCCTTCTGGTTGATTGATTTGCTTGGTTTTGATTCATTCATTTTGATTGTAAAATATTTTTGTTTGATATTGAGAGAAATGGTTTTGTATACTGTTTGTACTTTGTTAAACGCTGATTTTTGAAGCAAAAAATAAACTGATTGACTAAGTTCAAAATTTCTTTGTTTTTCCATTAAACCCTTTTCGGTTTTATTGTTAGTGTTTGTCCTTTAAGACCCTACGTAACCCTTTCTACACTCCTCAGAGGAGCTTCTAAAACAAACAACCTAAATAAATTTTAAAGTTGGTTTTCTGAAGAATTTGTTGAGTCATTTGAGTTGTTTAAAGTATTCACCAACTGCTTCAATTCTCATCACGGCAATACTTTTGAGAAATTCATTATCAACTTGTTGAACTTCTACCTCCAAAGGAACTAAATTTTGAACAGCTTGATTCTTCAAGATTGTAGGTTTGGATTTTTTAGCCCCCCCTGCAAGAGAGGTAGTGATTATGTCAACGGCTCTTATACTTTGCTTTCCTACAGTTTCCAAACCAATGCCTCCAGCAACTCTGGCAAAGAGTGACTTTAAAGGCTACCTCACCGTACCACACAAACCAAGTGGCATTGCATCCGCATCAAATCACTGTACCTCTTGAAGTGTCCTTTCTTTGTGTGTCTTTGCGTGTGGGAAGAAATTAAAAACAACGGTGTTTTTAATTGAATGCTTTATTTTTAAATCCAACAAGCTGGGGGTACACTGTGGAGTCTATTTTATTGATTTGATAAAAATTTCCTAAACTGATGAAAAATGGGTTAAACAATTTCAAAGCACAGGGCATTTTATTATTTGTTTGGAAGTTTGAAAAACTTCATGTATTCCACTTGAATGATAAATACATGATGCAGCCAGTAAAAATACTGTACATGAGTCCTACACACCACGCAACTCAGTAATAAAACATGACGCGGCTCAGTAAAAATACCTGACGCGGCTACAAAGTCCTACACACAACAAGGCTCAGTAAATTATTGATGAATTATACAGCAGGTACATTTTTTAATGCCCAATGTTTTGGATTTTCTTTGAATTGCTCAAAAATAATACACATGATGTGGCTCAGTAAAGTCCAAACACAAAAATACACAACGCGGCTCAGTAAAAAGACACGACGCAGCTCAGAAGTCCTACACACAGCGCAACTCAGTAATAAAACATGATGTGGCTCAGTTAAAATACATGACACGGCTAAAAATTCCTACACGCGACGTGGCTCCAAAATCCTATCACACAAATATAAGTCAAAATACAAAATACATGACACAGCTCAGTAAAAATAGTCGACATGGCTCAGAAGTCAGTAGTCCTACACACAATGTGACTCAGTAATGAAACATGACAAAGCTCAGTAAACATACCTGACGTGGTTAAAAAGTCCTACACACCACGCTGCTCAGTAAATGATTGAAGAATTATACAGGTACATTTTTTAACACCCAATGTATTGGATTTTCTTTGAGTTGCTCAAAAATAATCGTGAGCAATTCCAAGTCATAAAAATTTATTTTTGAGTAATATTGAAATGTGTATTACAAGATTTATTTTCTTGCTCAAAATTGTTGTATATTGTTTCCAGCAGTGGAAAACTAAGATTTGTGTGCTTCATACTGCTGGTGTTGCAAGCAGTAAACTTTGTTTGATGAATACAAACCCTGTTCGTTCATGTCTTTCATGGTGTTTTCACTTATACTGGTTTTTTCTGGTAGGTTTTTCTGATATGAAAATTCTTTTTTCATTATTTTCTCAAGTAAGGGATTTCATCCTGGATTAAAGCGGGTATGCCCAGTGGCATTGTGTTGACAAACTTGAGCTTCCAGTGGTGATCCCCGTTTGACCCCGCCGCCAAAAAATAGGGCCTTTCATTCCCAGGCACCATTAAGAGGGCTGCAGATTTTTTCTCGTCTCAACCCCGTTTCACTTCTTCTCCCGCCAAAACAGGATTTTACGTGTACTGGGGACGTGAATTCTACTGTCCACTGATTCCTCCCTTCAACAAGGCAAGGGTTTCCTTACCCAAAAACCATGTGAATTGATGCACATTGGTACACAGGAATTACTGTATCATGGAAACTAAATGGTAAGGCATCATAATAACCCCATACTTCAAACCAGAGTGAGGAAGTCTTTTAGACAATACTAGATTTTTGGGTAGGAGAGTAAGAATTTTGGGCTCCATGATGAAATCCCACAGGAGAAAAAATCCCGCGGCCCAAAAATCTCGTGAGGCTGAAAATCTGGTATGCCAAAAAATCTTGCGGGGTCCGAAAATGTTCTGTTGGTATGAAAATCTCCTATAGACTACACATGCAAAGAAGTCACAAAAAGACTTGGTCTAAAGTACTGTATGTTCCTTTTAAAGAAATGTATTCAATTTTCATTTTAAACATATTTTTCAAATTATTCTTCTTCTGCCTTAGACCAGAGATGGAAGCGGTGGAATCTAATTTCATCAAAATAAGCCACAATTCAGCTATGTTTTCATCCTCTGTAGGGCTGATTTTCACTCAAGGTTTGTGGAAAATTTTCAAGGTGAGATTACATGGATTTGAATTATTTCTTGGGTAACAATTCCAACCATGGATAGGGATCAAGGGGGTTGAATGGGTTATTCAGGAAACGGAGCACTCATTTCCCTCCATTACTATCACAGCTGCTTTGGTTTCAATGACAAATTTTCAGCATTCATTCAGCTATCCTTCTACAGCAATTTTTCATGTTGAGAAGTTTTCAATTTCTCTTTTGTGAGGTACTGTGAATCCTATACATGACCAAGGTATAAGGGAAGCGGGGATTAGTAGATGACAAAAGCTTCCTAGATTTATCAAGAAATATACAGTAGAAAACCAGTGGAAAAATGAATCAGTCTTCATCCCTTCTCAGTGCTGCTGGGATATTTCTTAAGAATTTGAATGGCTTCATGAGAAAAACCCTATGATAACATTGATAGAGAAATTTCAGTAGAAGCAACAATTGATAAGAAATCTTGTGCAGTGCAAAAATTCCAATGTAACAAAGTGTCTTGTCAAACTCATGCTCATTTTGGAATAAATGTATTTGATTTAATAATTATACTTCATTTTCAGCTCCATAATGCCAAAACTCACAGAGGCCTGAAAACTTTGCCAGGTACAAAAATCCAGCAGGAACAAAAATCCCAAAAACATTGATTATTGTATTAGGAAAACCCACTTTGCTACACACAACAGGCAATGAAGTTTACAATTGAGTTACAAAGTTGAATTAGGTTACAGCAAAAAAAGGACTGGTATAGTACCATTGGGATGTTTGCACTGGACAAGATTTTCTGATCAATTTTCTCTTCTACCGAAATTTCTCTATCAATTTTATCATAGGGTTTTTCTCATGAAGCCATTCGAATTCCTAAGAAATATCCCAGCAGCACTGAGAAGGGATGAAGACTGATTCCTTTTTTCCACTGGGATTCTACTATATACATATTTCTTAATAAATCTAGGAAGATTGTGTCATCTACTATTCCCATCTTCCCTTTTACCTTGGTCCTGTATAGGATTCACAGTACCTTACAAAAGATAAATTGAAAATTTCTCAACATGAAAAATTGCTGTAGAAGGATAGCTGAATGAATGCTGAAAATTTGTTATTGAAACCAAAGAAGCAGTGACAATGATGAAGGAAAATGAGTGCTCTGTCTCCTAAAGAAATAATTCAAATCCATGAAATCTCACCTCAAAACTTTTCCACAAACCTGGAGTGAAGATCAACCTTCAGGAGGATGAAAACATTGCTGAATTGTGGCTGACAGTGATGGGTGGTCCATGGATGACAGTGATGGGTGGCTTATTGCAATGCAATCCAGATGCATCGTCTGGCTGTGTGATGGGTCACGCAGACAGGATTCTTTGAGCCTCAACTGAGGGGATTAATCAACTGAGGGGAGAAGCTCATTTACTGCATACCTTTTCACTTTCCTAGTTCACTTCTCAGTGCTTGGAAAAGTCTGTTGCTCAGCAACGACTGTCCTGTCAAAGGTTTGATCCCTATCCATGGTTGGAATTGTTACCCAAGCAATAATTCAAATCCATGTAATCTCAGCTTGAAAATTTTCCACAAACCTGGAGTGAAAATCAGTCTTACGGAGGATGAAAACATTGCTGAATTGTGGCTTATTGCGATGCAATTAGATTCCACCGCTTCCATCTCTGGTCTAAGGCTAAAGAAGAATAATTCAAAAAATATGTTTAAAATGAAATCTGAATGCATTTCATTAAAAGGAACATACTTCTTCCATGTATTTTTGTGACTTCAGATTTTTGGCCTCAGGGGATTTCATGAAGCCCGAAATTCTTACTCTCCTACCCAAAAATATAGTATTGTCTAAAAGACTTCCTCACTGTGGTTGACGTCTTACCATTTAGTTTTCATATTTCCTGTGTATTGTACCAATGTGCATCAATTCACATGGATTTTGGTTAAGGAAACCCTTGCCTTGTTGAAGGAAGTGGACGGTAGAATTCATGTCCCCAGTATACCTAGAATCCTGTTTTGGCGGGAGAAGAAGTGAAATGCGACTGAGAGGAGACAAAATCTGCAGCCCTCTTAATGGGGCCTGGGAATGAAAGGCCCTTTTTTGGGAATTTTTTTGGGGGCGGGGTCAAACGGGGATCACCAATGGGTACTCAATTTTTTCACCTTCATCCTGCACTGGGAACATCATAATTGCACCAGAAACGATTGCAAAGGCTCAAGGTCCTTCTGGTGTGGTAGGCAAGCTGTGTCGTATACCGGGAAATAACTGGACTTGAAGCTGGTGATCTCTGCACTTTCCCGGGGGGGTTGGCTTTTTAGCCATGGGCAAAAGGACCAGTCAAAGACTTATCTTAAGGCCAGTGACATTTATCGGATTTTCATGGTTACCCTTCTTTTGCCTGGGGTGCTGGGCAAGGGTGGTGGATCCACCAGAGACAATAGATATTGATATCAAAGGCCCCTGAAAAGGGGAAGGAAAGGCTCACCCCAAAGAGGTTGTAATGTAATACGTCATGCACGTGTGCTCCTCACTGTTGCTGCCCGGCTGTTTGTGTCCCAATGAAAAAGAAAAGAGAAATTTCTTCGGAAATACGAGCACATTGTACATATCGGCACACTCTTAGAAGGGAGAAGAATTTCCTTCCACCAAATCTAAAGGTTGGGGTCATATATCCATATGAAGAAAAGGACCAGCTGATGGTGAAATATACAGAAATATACAGACTCTACTGTCTACTGTATTTAGTAATTCCGAATATGCTATGTTCTTATAAGTTGCTCAAAAATAATGGTGAGCAACTCCAAGTAAGAAAAGTTTATTTTTGAGTAATATTTAAATGTGTATTCCAAGATTTATTTGCTTGCTCAAAATTGTTGTATATACTCCAGCAGTTGAAAATTAAGATTTGTGCGCTTCATATACTGCTGGTCTTGCAAGCAGTAAACTTTGTTTGATGAATTACATTTACATTTTTCATGTAATTTCAGATTATATGTGATTGATTATCATCTGAGTTGATTTAATGCATAAAAACGAGCCTGGTGATCAAAAGCAAGCCAAAAGCACCTTCAGAACTGATTTATTAAGGTATTAAAAGACTGGCAGAACAAACAAACCTGATATAATGTACTTCAGCTTGATTTTACCATTCATGAGAAAACTGTGGGTGTCACATTTTCTCAACTCAGATTTTCTGTATCCCCCAAAAGCCAACCACTCCTGCATAAAGCTGCAAAATTTTTGAATGATTTCATGAAATCAGCGGCCATCTTAAACTGGACAGTGTTTGAGATAATTTACTGCTGATACCATGCAGAGTATACCCTGCTGATACTCTGGGACATTGCTGCATGAACCATAAGCAACAAGGAATTGGGAAACATTCTTCCCCACATTACACTTTTTAAATTGGTTAATCTTCAATCTTCAATCTTCAAAGCTTGTTAGGAAAAGGTTTAAAGGTTTTGGGAGAAACTTGTCTGGAGTAATTTTCTAAACTGGAGTTTTTTTCTCCAAACTGGATTCTTTTTGCATTATGCCTAGAGGGATGAAAATATTGACATCAATGAAAGGTGTGTCCCCAGCAATGCAAAAATAACCTTTCCATGGAATATAATTTAGACTGGGACCAGATGTGCACATTTCCCAGAATGCAAGGAGGGAGACAAAGAGTTTTTAACATCTGCAGTGGGAGGAATGACCAGTAGGATCCTACAGGGGTTTGGGGAACTTTAACGTCTGCAGTGTTAACTGAGGATCCTATAGGGGTCTGAGGGAACTTTAATATGGATGTCCTGTAACGTGTGTCTGTGGCCAAGGAGCTTGCTTTATATTGGAAATTTCCGTAGAAGAAATATCTACTATAATAAAGTTACTTGCCATCCTTGGTCCTTGGTTTGCAGTTTTTTAAATTTTCCCTTGCCCTCCCCCAGAAATTTTTACATGGTTAGATGCGTGCTGAAGTTTTCTAAATTTACATGCTTTTTCATAAAAAAATATTCAAAAATGAGTGAGTTATAGTGAAACATTCAGAACTTTTTAAAAAATTTTCCCATGCTTCCCACTTTCCTGCCAAAATGCACAGGTACCCCCCTCCCAGACTCCTGGGAGTCCCGCCCCCTAACTCTCCCTCTCTCTGCCTCCCCAGAGCATCAGTGATGTTTGGGAGCCAGCAAAGGAAGGATTGTGTTGCAGGGAGAATTGAAAAACAGGGGAAATGGCCAGTGGGGTGTTCAATCAAAGTAGTGGGTTGACATTCTTTTCACCTCTTTTCTTTTGTTTCTCCATTGTAAAAATCCCTTGACTTTTCTTTTCCATTTGTATTATTTTATAGGCTTTTCTTTCATTGTTGATTATTATGCATGTTTTTGCCTTATTACTCCAGTTTTTTGCCCTTCCCATATTTTATTAGACTGGGACCAGATGTGCACATTTCCCAGAATGCAAGGAGGGAGACAAAGAGTTTTTAATGTCTGCAGTGGGAGGAATGACCAGTAGGATCCTACAGGGGTCTGGGGAACTTTAATAAGGATGTCATGTAAGGTGTGTCTGTGGCCTATCTATCCCTCCTGACTTTTCCCCCTACCTCCCTCCCACAGAGCCCCCAGAGAGGCTTGCAGGAGGCTGGCGTTTCCCATTTTTTCAACTTTGAAAATTTTCCATAAATGGAATTCTCCATGTAACTTAGATTTTTTTCAATTGTACAAGGCGCCATGCAATTCGCAACATTTCCTTTTTTTAAACATTCAAAAATGTTGACAATTGAGAGAGAAACAATGAAAAATTCAAAACATTTTTTTTTAATGTACAAAAAATGGGAAAAAAAATTTTACTTTTTGAATTTTATCTATTTTAATTATCAACATATGTCAATTTAAAAAATTTTTAAATTTTTAAAACATCTGTGTTCATAAACCTGACAAAAATTTTTGAAATTTAATGAAAGCTAATTAAGTTACAATGAGCTAAACTGAAAATTTTGAATTCCCATTTCTGTTTTCTTCCTCTTATCCTAATTTCAAAAATTTGCCAAAGTTTCAAATTGCATCTAAATTTCAAATTTCTTCAGATGTTGCGAGGGAATTAATGTTTTCTAAATTTTCCCTTTTAAAATTTTGAAAAACCTCCAAAATTGGCCAAGTGTCAATCAAAAGCGCAAAACCTTTTTCAAAAACCTGGGATAAATTGGGAAAAAGTAGTTTTACATATTTAAAATTTAAATTTTCCATTTTAAGCTTTGCTCATTGAAAAAATGTTTAAATTCAAAGAACATCCATGCGCATATACACCTTGAAAAAATTTTTAAATTTCTTCAATACAAAAAAGTTATCATAAGCTAAAGTGAACAAAACAGAATTTTCTGAAAATTCCATTTCCCATTCTTCCAACTTTAAAAATTAGGCAAAATTGCAATTCTAAAAAAAACTTACTTTTTAAAACTTTATGAGGAGCGCCATGCTGTTTGCTACCTTTTCTCCTTTTTAGTTTTCAAAAAAATTTAAAATTGACTGAAATAAAATGAAAAATGTAAAATATTCTTTAAAAATTGTTTGAAAATTGGGAAAAAAGATTGTATGTTCTGAATTTTATCTCAGTCCATTTTCAACATTTGTCAAATAAAAAATTCTTAAAACTGTAAAACATCTGTGTGTATGTAAATGTAACCCTGCCAAAAATTTCGAAATTGCATCAAAATCCTAAAAGTTAGAATGAGCTAAACAGAAAAGTTTGAATTCCCAGATATGCTTTTATTTGTGTTTTGACATTTGAAATTGTTACAAAGATTTAATTTTGACTCAATTTTCAAATTTTTTCAAATGTTGCACTTGCAAAGATGTTTCCTAAATCTTCTTCCTTATATTTTGAAACATCTTCAAAATTGATTGGGATATAATAAAAAAACACAAA